CACCGTCTCCTCGCCCCTCAAGTCCCGCCCAATTCCCGTGCCCCCAGTCCGCAGCCTGTCCCCACATTTCCCTCTGCCCCCCAGCTCCGAGTGTTCCCCACCCCAATTCCCCTTTGCCCCTCACCCCCTCACATCCCCACATGTCCTCCTGCTTGAATCCCTCTCTGCCCCCCACACCTCATGTGTTCCTCTGCCCCTCTCCCCCTCTGCTCTGCCCCTCAAATCCCCACCTCCTCCTGCCTGAATCATGCCCCCCCTCACAGACTTTGTGTTCCCCACCCCAACTCCCCTCTGTCCCTCACATTCCCACATGCCCCAGCCCCAATCCCTATCAGCTCCCACACCTCCCTGTGTGTTCCCCTGCCCCAATTCCTGTATGCACCCACATCCTCAGTCCTCCTGACCCAATCCCCATCAGCCCTCCAAGTCCCCACATATCCTCCTGCTCTAATTGCCCTCTGCCCCTGCCACCTCTGTGTGTCTTCCTGCCCCAATCCCCATAGGCTCCCACATTCTCCTGCCCCATGCCTTTCATGTCCTTCAGCCCCAATCCCTCCTTGTCTGCCCCCCACATCCTTGCATATTCATCTGCCCCAGTCCCCTCTGTGACCTCCACACCCAGTGTGTCCATGTGTCGCCCTCCCCAGCTCCCTGTAACCTCATGTGTTTCCCACTCATATGTCTCTTCTGTGTCTCTCCCTGGCTCTATCCCCCACACACACTCATTCCATTGTGCCCCAAGTCTCATATTTCATCACACCTCCTGAGAGACCCCTTCCTTGGATCTGCTGCCTCTCCTTGTAGATCCTGTGATGGTTATTCCCCATGATTTATGAAAATTGACCTATGATTATAAATATGTGTAACTCAAGGATGCTTTAAACAAAATACCTCTTGTAATCTATCAGTTTGAATGTTACAGTCTGTTGAATCTATATATCTTATTTTTGTGCATGTATCATTCTCGTATGTGGAGTTAGAAATATGAAGTGTGAATCTGTTTATAATTTTAAATGTGCTAACGAGAACTATTATTGATGCTCCAGAAGGCTAATAACTTGGTGATCAACTCAAAGGCCATTGGTGCTAGAAAGACATGTGACCATAGCACCTAGTACTGAAATCTGTTTTGAATCTGGTGTTTTACCATGGGAAGGGGGGGAGGAGAGTGCTAAACAAAAAGATTCCCACTCTGTGGGACAGTCTGTTTAAGCAATGGGAAGCTACTAGCTTTTTATCTTCAGCTGGTTTCTGGAACTACCTGGCACACTCAAAGAAGGAAAATAACTTTAAAGAGGGTAGGAGACCCAAGTTAGAGTAAATGAGTTTGTCTCTGACTTAAATATTATGCCTGAAATAAGAACAATTCTTTAGGGTAAG